AGGGAAGACCATCTGCAACTTGTATTTCAGACAGAGGGCTAATTTCCCTAATTTATAAAGAGGTGTTCCAGATCAAGGAAAAGACCAATAATCAATAGAAAAGAATGGGCAAAAGCTATGAGCAGACAAGAGATTCAAATATATAAAAATATTCTCAGCCTCACTCATTTAAGAAAAATGAAAATTAAAACTACATCTGGAAATCAATTTTTTCCTATCAGATTATCAGATTAAAAAATTGATGCAACATTGTGGTGCATGAGCGCTGAAAGTGCTCGCTCGGTAGCTGGCTGATGGGGATGTAATGAGGGCTGTCCCTGGGGAGGGCAACTCAGTGCGTCTATCAGAACCACAGGTGTAAGTTTCTCTGACACAGCCGCTCTGTTTCTATGAACTTACAAATATCCTTGCAGTCCTGGAAATGGCCTATTGTACCAGCTGATTCATTTGGTGGCATTCTTTGTAAGGCTAAGAGGATTGCAAACAATCTAAATGTTCACCCACAGAGGACGGGTTAATGACAAGTCTGTACAATGGGGTACTATACAGCCATACAAAGATTGAGAAAGCTTTCTGTATACTGCCATGAAATAATATAAAACATGTATTGAAAATGTAAAGAGCAGAACTGTGAGCAGGGCATGCTTCTGTTTGTGTAGCAACAAGGACATATATCCGTCTTTTAAACAACACCTTCCTTGTACAGAGCAGATGTTCAAGGCCCACTTTTAAAAAATTGAATGAGTAAACACACAGTGAGTAATGGGGTTCACAGTTCATGCCATACTCCCTCCACGCTCATGCTCCGATCACTCCAGGCCAATCATGCATTCAAGATTGCTCATGGCCAAGTAGAGAAGCACTGGTGTGGGTGTCAGGGTAGGACTCCAGGGGGACGGCTCTGTCTCGGAGCTACAGGAGGCCCTGGGGTCCTGGTTGTGAAGGGCAGTGCTGGAGTCATCTCCCAACCCCTATGCCCTGCACACACTCCTACGTGGGTGGCAGAGTGTCACTACCTGCAACACCTGGCTTGAATTTTCCAGGCCAGTTAAGCCCTTAGTGGGTTTTGTAGCCTTGGCCTTTTAGGATACTAGTCAATCTTTCTCCTCTCCCTTTCCATTACCTTCTTATTTTTAACCCTTGACTCAGGCCTGCTTGGTACCATCCTGTGGGCAGTGTCTTCTTTACACTTATCCTTTTCTTTTTTTGGTCCTAGGCTCTCTTCGCTGTGGGCCGAGAATAAGCCCTGTGGCCCTCTGCCCAGCAAACTTCTAGAGGCTATGGCTTTTTTCATACCCACAGTTACAACAGCTATTGTTTGAGAGTAATTATTAAGCCCCGCACACCATAATAGCTGCCTTTCATTCATTATCCCAGTTGTTCATTCAGACACACATATTTAATGCTTACTACATGACAGGCAACAGTGGACAAGACAAAGTTTCTACCCGCCCCTAGAGTTAAGACTCTGGTAGGGAAGATGGACAGCAAGTAAGTATAGAGCACACTTTTCTGGTAGGGGTAAATGCTGCAAAGGAAGAAAAAGCCAGACAAGAGCACAGGAAGCAATGATTGTGTGACTTTAGGTAAGGAGCTCAGGGAGACCTTATTTGAAGAGTAATCCTGAAAAAAAATCAGGGGAAAGGCACTTCAGGAAGGGGGAACAGCAAATATGAATTCCTGTGATGGAAATGCACTAGTAAGAAAAAAAGTGGAGAGAAAGGTCAGACAGACAACCTGGTCACATAGGGTGTGTTGTATGCCACGTGTTCTACGCCATGGTAAAGACTTTGCATATAGTCTACAGAGCCACTGGAAGGAGCTGAGCTTATGAGGCAGATATTTTTTCCTATTTTACAGATGACAGATTGACCAGTATGTAAGGGGCAGACTTGAAGTTGGTATAAACTGACCCCCTACAGGACATTGCAGGGCCTCGGCTTTCTTCCAGGGATCCCAATACTAACAATTTAACAGCTGGCTGGGGGCGGGGAGAGGACTGTCCTTCCTTAGCTCCCTCCAGAGCCCTGACAAGCCCAGGCATGCTCTCAGGACTCCCCCAGTGGGCAGGGTGTCTGTGGCTGAGTGCCATGCCAGCCAGACCCAAGGAGATGCTGAGAAGGCACAAATGTCCTGGCTTCATGTCCTGCCCCCTGTTGATGAATCAATTGAATCACTCAACTGAAAAATTAACTCAAATCTGCAGACAGCCCTCCAGCTTGCAAAAGGACACCAGGAAGTGCATGCCTGGGCTGAGACTGCTGGGTACCTGGTCCTCACCCCAGCCCGGGGCCTAGCACCAGCCCCTCCAGATGGGCACTTGTCCATCCTTCTAGGGCCTCAGTGTAACTTGCTTCCCCTTGACGTCCATCTACTGGTGAATCTTTCAGCCCAGTGGTTCGGCCCCAGTTGTTCTTTCTGGAACTTATCTATCCAATCTGAATGGAGTTCTGAGGACAGTCAAAGTCTGGCTGGAGCCACTGAGGGTCACAATATATGACAAATACAGGGACTTTTTCTTGGAGGAGCTTGGAGTCCAGAAGGCTGGGAAAGGAGAGTCAGGTACTAGAGAAGTTTAAGGCCGTGTTGGGATAGAGTGTAAATTTCAAAAGGACAAGGCTTGTGTGATTTACACACAGAGGCATGCTCAGTGCCTAGAACAGAGCCTGACACATCCTAGGTGCTCAGTAAATACTTGTTCGGTGAATGAATACATTAACAGGAGACTGCAACTATTGTTGAGGTGAGCATATGACTAATATGACTAATATGGCCTTTCTCTTTCATAATCAGACAACTGGACCCTACATCCAGCCTTCTGATGCCCAGGTGCGGCTTTGCTGAGATTGTTAGAAGCTCCCCAGGCTGTGCAGCCTGGGCTGGTAATCACAGCTCTGGGACACACTGCAGCACTCTAGGAGCACGGGAGGGGCTGCTGCTTCTGTGACACCTGGGATCTCATACAAGTGCTCTGTGCTTGGTGAGTACGTGTGTGTGTGTGTGTGTGTGTGTGTGTGTGTGTGTGTGTGTAGGGGAGGGTCTGTTCCTTCCCTTGGCATCCCGGTGCTGAACCCAAAGGGAGCAGCCCTTCACAGTTGTCCCACTCTTACTTCCTGGGCTTCTAGAGTCTTCCTGGGAATTCATCCCTTCTACAAGGGTCCCTTGATGCTGTTCCCTTCCTGACCTTGCTCCACATTAAAGAGTTGATCAGCCCATCAATTAATTGTGTCCTAATCCAGTCTTGGCTTGGATGGAAAGAGGGCAGTAAATCCAGCTGGGTAATCATGCCCTGATATTTGTGTAGGGATAATTACTATCTCTCAGGCCTCACTTGGTGGCAAGATGAGATGAAAACCCATAAAACACCACTCGGGGCTGTGGCTCATTGTTTCTTGGCTGCACAGGGTTGGCAGCCAGCCAGCCAGCCAACACCGCCCACTGTTGCCCCTGGCACAGGTCCCAACCTCTTCCCCTCCATTCACGCAACTGGCAGAGCTCAACACCAAGGGCAGCCTGGGGGCTGAGCCCTGGCTTGGGCCCGACAGCCAGTAGAGGCAGCACTGTGGCCCAGGGGAAAGCCAGCATGTACGTGTTGGGGATAACAGGGAGCAGGGGCAGGGTCTCCAAGAACTGGTACTTGTCAGCCTCCCGGAGGTTGGAGGGTCCAGGACCCTGTTTGCATAGGCCAGAATCATGAGGTCGCATCCAGAGCCAACCCAAGAGGCTGCTGCCCTCTGTCAGGGTCCAGTGCACGTCCAGCCTGCACCTCCCAGGGGATGCCATGACCCAGAACTTCCCCACAGATGGCACAGCCCCATAGGAGTGGACTTGACTCTAGTAGGCCCTAGTCAGGCCTGAGGAAATGTAGCGTCAAGGATGAGGAGCCACCTTGATGCAGCTCCAAGGGGACAGTCCCCAGCTCCTGAAACACCAAGTGCCCCCAACCTGAAGGACACAGGAGTAAGAGAACCATAGAGTGTCTTAATTCAAAGGTTGGATCCAGACGGGCCCCAGTGTTTGAATCTTGGGACTTACAAGCTGCAAGGTCTTGGGCAATTTGATGCCTTGATGCCTCAGTTTCCTCAACTCCACAGTGGAACTATCAGTACCTTCCTAACTGAGCTGTTGTGAGACTTACGTGAGATTGAGTGCTGAGGTCAAGAGCTGGCACATAGTAGGTGTGCCTTAAGTATTAGCTGTTACGACTTCACTGTTACTTAGCTTTCTAGGCATTAGTTTTGCTCACTTATCCCTCAGCACTAGAACCTTGCTACTCAAGAGTGTGGCTCCTGGATCAGCAGCTTCTCTTCAGGCCCAGATGGTGTCAGAAATGCAGGCTCTCGGACCCCCAGACCTGAAGAACCAGAGTCTGCTTCTGCACACACTCCAGCTAACCTGGATACACACCGCATCTTGAGTAGCTCTGGAAAACGCACCATGGAATCAAGGTCTGCTTTCCTGTTTGTCCTCATCACCTCCCTGTCACATGGGCCCTCTGCCTGGCATGTGGTAGGTGAGAGGCAAGAATGTGGGGGATGAATATGTGAGCTCAGAAACCAGCTCTTGGGGTTTAAGGATTTCCAAGCATTTGAGAAAGGCCTCCTAGCGCAGTGTGGAGGGTGATTCTAGGGACATCTGTTGGCTACAGCAGTGACTCGGGAACAGGGACAAGGGGCATGGACCATGACAGGAGCAGTGGAATGGGCCAGAGAGATAGGAGAGTGGGGTGTTGCTCAGATTGGGAGGTGCTGAAGGTGCCCAGGGAGAGAGAGAACTGGTCTCTTCTGCTCATACCACTCCACCTTGGCCCAGGCTTCACCACAGAGAAGATGAGATCACCATGGGGCTCTCCGCTGAACACAGGCAGATCCTAGTGGAAGTGCAGACTGTGCCAGTGACAGTAGCTTGAGGCTGCACCAGCGTCCCAAGGGTCTTCTCCACAATTGGTTTTGGGAGGAGGAAGGCGGAAGCAGGAAGAGGCATGAGGCCTCCGGCCCTACCTGAGAAGGCGTTGTTTGTGTTGAGGAAGTAGATCTCCTCTCGGCCATCCCCGTCAATGTCGCAGGCTGTGACCCCGATGGCATTGCCCTGCCGGTCCCGTAGCGCATAGTAGGGTGAGCTGCGCTCATCTACAGCAATGTTCACCAGCCGCTTCTTGGCCTGGTCATACTTCAGAACCAGGTTAGGACCATTGTACCTGGAGGGGGATGATGAGGAGACGTTGGAAAGGCACAGCTAGGCCCCACCCGCCCACCAGAGAGACAGAGCAAGGGGCTGGAGTTCCTTCACAGTTCAAAAATTCAGCTCCAGGGGAGCCTTGCCTCTGGGGTCCCTGGGTGTCTGCTGAATGTCCTTGGATTAGATATGGACCCACACAAGGTGAGAATCCACTGGAATCACATGGGACATATACAAGGGGAAGGGGTGACAGAGGGGGGTGGGCAGCCAGTGGCAACCCCCTTACTAAGAGCTTGATTGAAGAAAATGAAAGACTCCCAGGTATTTAGCTTGGACATTTCAATGTAAAAGTCATGGTCACATTTATGACCTTGTTCATTTAAAACTAACACCCACTAAGGAGCTTGGCAAGGAGGCTGTGGTATTAATCCATGTTATAGACGAGGCAAGTGATGAGCTTGATCAGGGAAACTGAGGCCCAGAAAAGTTGGGTGCCTTTCCCAAGGTGACAGAGAGCATCAAGTGCAGGATCTGAACCCAGGCTCTTTCTGCTCACCTGAGATCCCAGTGTGAGCCCCAAAGGGGCCGAGGTTTGGAACACAGGAAGACCCAGTGTGTAAGTAGTCCTGTGGAGCTAGCATCTTGGGCCAGAGAATGAAAACAGCCAAGGTTACCAGACAGCCCTGCTGATCTCTTTTCCTGAGGAACTCAAAGATGAAGCTGCCTCTCATCCCCCCTGCCAGCACTCCCAGTTCTCTCCCGTGCCCATCAGAAGCTCCAGGCCTGTCTCTGCCTCTGGGACTTTGCACCTGCTATTCCCTCTGTCCAGGATGCTGTTGCTCCAGACAGCCACACTGCTGGCTCCCCTTCACCTCCTGCTCATTTGCTCCACTTCAGTGAGGCTTTCCTTGACCACACTCCCCACCTGCAACTGCCACCCCTGGACTCTTTCTTCCTCCCGGATCTCTCTCCCTTGATCTCCTCCCCACAGCTTCTGCCCCCTATCATCTGCTCATTTGTCTCTTCCTTCTCTATTGGTTCTGTTGGAACATCAGTGCTGAAAGGACAGAACTTTTGGTCCATTTTGTCCACCAGTACCTTGCCTAGAATAAGTGCTCAACAAATATTTGAGGAAAGACTGAATGAGTAAAACCTTGGAGCACTTCCCTGAGTCCTAAGGGCATAGATGTTCCATGGCAGATGTCTTCCCTTTGCCATTCCACCTGGAGAAAGCAAGGGTCTGACAGGAGAGCAGGGTGTCCAAGGTCACCCCACACGCAGCATGGCCAGGAATGTCTGGAGGCCTCCCGCCTCCTGGGAGCAGCAGCCTTTGAAGAGAAGGAACCCAGCCACTTCCATGCATACAGTCCCTGGCTGCTTGCCTGGGCTTTGAGTTGAATATGCCCATCCTGAGTGAAGTTCAAGTGCTGGCAGAGAACACCTGGGGAGGTGAAAAGAGCTCTCCCAGGTCTTTGAGAGAAATTACTTTTTTCTTTCCTGAAACAGAGCCAAGCTGGCCCTCTCCTTTGTCACCAAAATGCAGAAGCCAGTGAAGTTTGGGGGCTGTAGGGCAGCTGGCCGGGTGCCTTTTGGCATCCATCGTGTGGGGAAGGAGAGATGGCGCTCCCTGGGGCTGAGTCAGCATAAGGTGACGGAAGGCCGCGCCTTAGCACCTTGACGAAGTATGTCTGAGGGCTGTGCATCAAGGGCACGGTGTTATCTTTGCAGCCGTGTCTAGGCACAGAGACAGAACACTTGGGTTCCAGCACTGTCAGCAGCTGGCTCCAGCCCTCAGCACAGGAACTGCTTAGCGAGTGCTGAACTCTGGTCTTGAAGCCTTGGGCCCTCTGTTCTTCCAGCACTCCTGTGCCTACCTCATAAGAGGACTGCTCATAGCCGTCTTATTTTTCTTGAAAGTACTTTTGTTCATTGTCTTGCTTGAGCCCTGCACAATCCCAGAAACAAAGTAGGTAAGGTATTTTCTAGAAAAGGAACTGAGGCATGATGAGGTTCAAGGTTACATGGTCCGTAAGTGGCACCGCCAGGCCTCTATGTCTCCAGGGTCCAAATCCTGGGTACCTTCCATACTGCCTATGATTTCAACACTCAGTCCTTTGCATGTTTTTCCTGTAAGTTTCCCCCAAAGTACCAACCATGAGAAATTCCTGAGAACTTCATATAAGTGGCAGAAATAACCTTACATTTTGACAACACTTTAGAGTTTACAAAGCATTTTTTAACCTCTTTGCTCTTAAAGCTCTTTCTAGCTCTGCCAAAGATTAGGCTGGTGGCCTTGGGCTGGTTATTTCCCCTCTCTAGGCTCTAGGTTTCTCTTCCGTAACATGAGAGAGATGGACGAGATGAGGTCACAAAATGCACGGACAAGTGTGGATGTGGGGCTGTGTCTCTGGCCTCCACTCTCATTTTATTTGATGTACCACAATCTTTAGCATGTAGAGCAAGGGGTTCCAGAGCTGAGATGCAAAAGCCATTGGCTGAGGAGCTCTGTGGGTCTAAGCTCTGTTGTCTTTCAAGATAAGCAGAGCAAGCAAACATCCCGGTCATAGCCTCCACTGTATAAAGTCCAACACTGATAGCCTTCTTTGCCTTCTTGCCTCAGCCCCTGGAGTCAGCTCCCAGTGGGTGGGGAGGGACCATAGCCTCCACCTGTTCTGAAGGCAAGTCCTGTTGCCCTGAATCTGGGTGGCTGGGGTACACACAGGGTCCTTGCATCCCTGGTAGTGGCCCCAGGGAAACGATGGCCCTGGCTCATTTCTTCTCAGAAGAATATGGGGTGCTAGTTCCAGCAGGCCCCTTGAGGTTGCTGGGCTGATCAGATTCTTTGATCTGTTACTGAGTGAGCATGTGCAGAGGCCTCTGCAGACCTCCATGGTGGTGTGGGATGAAGACTGATGTTTTATCCTCTTCTCCCCGGCCCCACATGGCTCCCCTAGGGGCGGCAGGCATAAAGCCAGCCCAGCAGATCCCAGGCAGGGTTCTTGACCAGACCCAGGCAGGGCCAGAGGGCAGTGCTTGGAGTTGCCAGTCTTTCCTTCTCACTGGCTGGCCTTAGCTGTGTCTGCTGGACCAATGCCCAAAGCCACACACTATCTTCCCTCCACAGAACCAGCCTCATGCCCTCCCTCTTCTCCAGGGAGCTGACACTCCCCTTTGCTTCCTCATACTCCCCGGGACTGCCTCTGCCCTTTCCGGCTGTGCCCGTATCTCTGCTCGGCTGCTGCACCTCTCCAGCAGGGAGTGTTCTCCCCACAGTCCCAGCCTCCTGTGAAGCCCGCCCTGCCTGGGTGCGACCTTCTCTCCTCTGGACACCCGCAGTGTCTGCACCTTGCTTGCTCCTGCCAGGGCAGAGGTGTTTGTGCCCGAGCATCTCTTCTCTCATTAAAGACAGCACCGGCTCCCAAGAAGCATGCGGGGGCTGTCTGTGCATGTGCTGTGCCTAGAGCAACACATGGCAGGAGAAGGGGCTCCACAAATGTCAGATGCAAGAGCAGGAAAGGGAGAGAGCAGTCCCCGCGTGCCAGGCCCTGTGCCGAGCACTTCACACCCTCGAACTCATTTGACCCTCGTGGCAGTCCCAGGACGGGGGTCCTGCTAGGGTCCCCACTTTGCATGTGTGCAGATGCGCAGTTGGGATGTCTTGCTCTCAGTCGCTCTGTGGTGTCAGTCCCACCCAGAGAGCTGGGGACCCGGATGTGAGCTGCACATTTTCCCTGATACCTGCCGGAGATTGTCAGGCACTATAGAAATCCAGAAGGCTTTGAAGCACAGTTAAATGGGCCAGGAAGTGGAACAAGATCCTGTGTTCTTGAAAGGCAGCTTTGGCTTCTGATATCAAAGGATGGGCCAGTGGGGGTGGGTGGGCAACCCTGCCAGGTCCGGGCTCTGACCTTGGGCTTGTCACTCAATTCCTTTAACTTCCGTTTCCTTCCCTGAAACCCTCTGTAGCTTGGGGGCTGCCACATCCCTGACAGGAGGATTGTGAGGATTAAGTGCGAGAGTGTGTGGGACAACACTTGGTAAACTGTGAAGAATTACACAATTATAAGTTCTCATCATTTAAAAAAACACAACAAACCTGAGCCATTACCTCTCACTCTCTAGTGATCATTTTAGTTTCCAAGCACACTTCAGTATTTCTCATCCCTAAATATCCCACCTTTAGTAGCTCATCCTTTGCAGGTACATTTTTCTCTTTTTCAATTCTTTTGGGCAGTAATGGGGCTTGAACTCAGGGGTGCTATACCACTGAGCTATATCCTAAGTCCTTTTTATTTTATTTTGAGACAGGTTCTTTCTAAGCTGCCTAGGCTGGCCTCAAATTGTGATCCTCCTGCCTCAGCCTCTCAATGAGCTGAGACTACAGGTGTGTGCCACTGTGCACAGTGGTATATTTCTTTATTTCCCTTTATAACCAGACTTCTCAAAAAAGTTGTCCTTGCAAACTGATTCTGATTTCCCACCCTAATTCACTTTCTGCCTCCAGCTCCTCCAAAGCCACTCTCACCACTGTCATCAGTGGCTCTTATGTGGCCACAGCTAGAGTGGTCTGTTCTGTTCATCATCTTTTCTCTCTCACATGTACCTGGCACTACTTCCACCCTCCACTACCTCTAAGACACTTTCCTTTCTGGATTTTATGAAGCCACCCATCTGATTTTTCTCTCTCTTGATTCCTCTCCTTTTCCTTGTTGCAGGTTTTTCCTCCTCTCTCCATTCTCTTAATGTTGGGGTTTCCCAGCCTGGCCCTGGGCCTTCTTCTCTTCCCTCTTTCCCCTTTCACTAGCCAATAATATCCACTTCCATGACTGACAGCCTCCAAATTTATATCTCCAACCCAAGCTCAGACTCATATATTTACCTGCCTCCCTGACATCTCCCCTCACACGTCCCCCAGCCGTCTCTGATGGAACATGACCAAAATGGAATTATTGATTTCTCTGCCCTGTCCTCCCCCAAATGGGCACCCAGGTCCTAAAGCCAGAAGCCTGGCATGAGCTG